TAAGAGAGTTTTTAAAAATGTTTGCTAGAAGGAACAAATGCCAAGTCAAAAAAAAAGAAAATAGAAGTCCATTCAGTGTAAGACTCTCGTTTGGTTCCCACTAGTTGGAATTGCTCACATACCATGGCAATAGGGCCATAAACAAACACATACATGCATTTCAGGCTAGGTTTAAGGGGAGGATCTGACTTTTTGGCTTTACTCAGACATATTTCTTATTGGGGTGTTTTGCTTACATGAAGATTAAGTCCCAGATCTGGTATTTAAACTTGACAGTCAAGGACTGTTTTCAGTCAGGAGATACTGGATCTGGGAAGATGCTCAAAATCTCACAGTCCTAAAAATTTGCTTTAACTTGTCAGTAGTATTTGATTAGTTCAACCGTCACTGCCAGTTGATATCATATATCTTAGATACAGACACAAATATGCCCAGAAAATCCCATAAAATTTATGCTAATACTTAGTCTGAAAATATAAAGACCACATTAAGGAGAAAAAAAAAAAAATAGCGGGGGCATCTGTCAAGGTTATTAGTTAAAAAATAAAAATCGATATTCAATATATTTTTTAAGGGAATGTGTATTTTACTATGTTATTATTCTTAGTAAATCAACCTTTACAGCAATATATGTTTTTAATGGCACTCAAAATGCCTGCAGTAGAACCAAAGAGGAGTTCATCTTTGGTTTAAGCATCCCATCATAAGGTTATCCCCATCCAGAAAGGAAGAAAATAATCTATGGAAAGACCAGCTAAAGACAAAAACAGAAAATAGGAAAATCAACCACTGCAGTAGAGAAAGCTCAGTTGAAAGAAAACGGATGTGGCTCCTCTAACCACATGCCCTACCTGGTATGTAGACTAGTCTCTGGGGAGCAAAATACAGTTATCAGAAAGCACTGCTTGTCCCTTTTTGGTTTAAGATAGAAATTTACACAAGTATTTTCCCAACTATATACTGTCTTTAGCCCATGCTGCCATGAAATCCCAGAGCACCACATTCAGAAATCCTACTTCACTTAGGTTATTACACCTTCCTCCAAGTGGTCTCAGGGATGACCCCGAGTCACATGGGAAGCAATTTCCTGCAAAAATTTCCTGAATAGAGGCAGCACCTGGTCTGCTATGGAGGCTGTGCTTAAAAAGAAACTTTTTTAAGACTTTGGTGAGATGTGTCTGTTGTTAGCAGATGGATAGCTGAGGCACATCTCTGCCTTTTTCATCATTTCCCTGCTCCCACTGCACATGGCAGCATTGGGATGGCAATGCCATGCACAGCAGGCAGCTGGGCATGACAACAGCCACCTCTCTGTACTCCCCTATGAACCTTTGGCCTTTGACATCCCACCAACTCCCAGATCCAGTGTCTGAAACCTCAGAGCACTGGTGTCTCCATCCCAGGAACCAGTGCATGTGCCGAGGGAGATGTCTCCTGGAGAAAGTCCTGCACAACACTGTTAACTAACACGTACAATTTCCTCACATAGAAACTTTGCAGAAGAGCCGGATGTGCCCAATGCACACCAAGCTGACTGAAAGCTTGGGAAACTTGCTAGAATCTTTCTTCCCAATAGGCAGTTAACTAGACAGAGCTTTAAATGAGTCCTGTGCAAGAAAGAGGAACAGAAAATTCCTTTTGTGCATACTCAGAAAAGACAGAGTGCCCAGAGTCATTCCTCCTCTTTCTCAAACTTAAAGAAACCTGGGCTTGTTTTCTTTATATATATAAAGAATTTTTTTTTTTTTTTAATGGCTACATTCTTCAGAAATAAGCTGCTGGTCATCCGTGTTCTTCAACAGGAAAAAAAGAAAGAACAGACTCAAGCAGAGTGCGCATCAGCACACTCCCTCATAAAATCTCTTTGTGAGGGTCATTCTCATGGCTGACCACACAAATAGTAATTTATACACTGAAAGGTATGTGTGTTTGATAGCTCTACCTGCCTTTTACAAGCCACAGCTTGTCTGATCAGTAGTGCAAAGACACAGCAGCCTTCTTACCCTCCCACAAATGACAGCACCTCAAAACTCTTGCAAAATACTGCTATATCGAGACAAACAGCTTCTTCCGAAGTGATCACACTCCACTTAGAGCAGTAATAGAACGCAGGGATGTCCAGAGACAACACAGCAATGGAATGCTGTGAGGTGGTGATGGCTCTTGCTCATCATATGACAAGGAGCTCACCCCTCGGCGATAGCACATGATGCTTAACATCCTCCCCTGAGAGTAAATCCCATCCTGACATTGCATTTTATATACGCCCTCCAAAATGCACAAAATCCCTTGAACTTCGATTAAAAAGCACAGCAGAAACCTTAAATGCAAATCCATACTTTCCTCATTCTGCCAGATTTTTGTGAGATCTCTCCCAGCTAAATAATTCTCCTTCCTCTCTCCCTTGCCAAGTCTGGGAGTTCTACTGCCCTGCCTGCACTCAGTGCATGGGCCATCACTTCCAAGAGAGTTTGAACAAATCAAAGAAAACAAATCATTAGATATTATATACAATATATTTCTAAGCATCTTCTGATAAATCCATCCAATGCTGCCCTTGATGAGTTATCAAGGATATAGTCTGCAAAATAGAAGCTTGCATGCATTACTCCTTCTCTGCTAGAGAAACATGGCA